ACGCGTTCTCATTCTCATCGCCCTCCATCATAACTGGACCATTCATCAACTCGACATTTCTAACGCGTTCCTCCATGGCACCCTTACCGACACCGTCTACATGGCTCAACCTCCGGGATTTCAAGACTCCATGTACCCAGGTCACGTTTGTAAGCTAAAGAAAGCCCTCTACGGTCTCAAGCAATCTCCTAGGGAGTGGTACGCTACCCTATCCAACCATCTGATCAACTACGGCTTCAAGATTAGCTCCTCCGATCACTCGCTCCTCACCTACACCTCCGGCACAACTCGTATATACATCCTTATATACGTCGACGACATTCTGCTCACAGGTAACTCACCCTCAGATATCAATACATTACTAACAAATCTTCATTCTAATTTTCAGATGAGAAACCTTGGCTCGTTGTCGCAATTCTTGGGCATTCACACGGTCAAAACAGATTCTGGCATTATCCTACATCAGCAAGCTTATGCCAAAAACATCATCCATCGGGCTGGCATGGATCAATCCAAACCTGTCATCACACCGCTCTCTAGCCGCCCACCCAGCAATGCCGCGTCCAGCACAATCTACGAACACCCTCAACTTTACAGACAACTTATTGGCGCACTCCAATACCTCACCATCACTCGACCGGACATTCAGTTTGCCGTCCAACAATTATGCCAACATATGCAAACTCCTCTCCTCACTCACTACGAATCACTCAAGCGTTTACTTCGTTACATCCACGGTTCCTCCGGCACAGGTATTCCACTAAACAAAACCAATTTAATTCTCACAGGATACGCCGATGCCGATTGGGCTAGCAACAATCAAGATCGCAAATCAATATCCGGCTACTGCAACTTCCTCGGCAACTCCGTGATATCTTGGCAAGTCAAAAAGCAAACCACAATAGCAAGGTCGTCAACCGAAGCCGAGTACCGGGCTCTAGCTACCGAAGCCGCCGAAATCATTTGGCTGCGGCAACTCCTGGCCGACTTCCACACACCTCAAAACGACCCTACAACAGTCTTCTGCGACAACACCTCAGCTATTGCTCTCGCAAACAACCCAGTTTTTCACGCCCGTACAAAACACATTGAAGTTGACTGCCATTTTATCCGGGACTGCATTAAGAAGAAGCACATTTCAGTTCATCACATCTGCACCGACGATCAGATAGCCGATCTCTTCACCAAAGCTCTACCCAACTCAAGATTCAAAACTCTCGCAAGCAAACTCACAGCCGCTACGCACCCATAAGTTTGTAGGGGGCTGTTAGCCACCATACACGTGGCAGCTTTTCATTTGTTCAAAATTGTACCGTTACTCTTCTTGTACATCTGTTTAAGTCTTAATCCCTATATAAGTAGAACTGTAACCCATAGAAGATTAATGAAAAAGTTTTATTTCCCTGTTTCTTCTCTCTCTATCGCAATGCTTCATGAGGCTCAGGCATCTATGCTGTGTTATTCATGTGCTGATCTGTATTGCTATCTTCAACAACAGTAATATTAAGCCTTCATCCTACTATGTGGGGTCGGCTACATTAATCTTTTTTCTCCTTTGTATATTGTTAAATGTCAAATTCTAGTTTAAATCTAATAAAGAAAGATTATTTCTGATATTTTCTAACCAAGTCTTTTCAAGTATGTCTCTATCTTTCTTAACATAAGTCAAATTTAATATCTCTACTTTCCTAACCGGGTGATCGAAAGGCCGCCATTTTATGTGATCAAACCATCTAAGGCGACTCTCTCTAATCTTAGATCCACTGGAGCTACTCCAACCTTTTCATGTTATGCTCATTTCGTATCATATCTCTAAGGGGCTGTTTGGTAGAATTTAGGATTTCATTTAAGTAGGATTTCGTAAATCCTCCAAATCCCGGATTTACGAAATCCTGAGGGGTTAAATCCTGAAAACTGTTTGGTAACATTCATGATAAATCCAGTTAAATCCTTTGTGATTGTTTGGCTGTTCGCCCAAATCCAGCCTTAAATCCGCATACCAAACAGCCCCTAAGGGTAAAGCCACTCATCCACCTTAGCATCCTCATCTATGCAACACTTAACTTAGTATTATGTTTCTCTTTTAATGGCCAACATTTGATACCATAAAACATTGCTATGTGTAGGAAATAAATTGTTTATGGGACCAGAAAAAATGTTAAGGATTCATGGGCTTTATACTTACATGCTTTACAGTTATGCTTATATTGCATTACACCTGCTCCGGCACTCATTTAATAGCTTCGGTGGGTGGTATTCATTGAAATGGACCCAGATTGATGTAAGGCATTATGGTTATGGGCAATTTATATAAAGAAATTGTTGCCATATTAGTCATTTTGCAATGATTTTTGCTACATCTAACTGCACCTTGCACCTTTGCAATGAAATCAGTTTACTCATTTAGTTATATGATGAACCACTTTGGTTTGGAGTGTCAATTTTTTACACGACCCGAAATTTGACCTGAAAAAATCTGGATTCGGATCGATCCGTTTGTGAAACTGGTTTGATTCAGGTTCAACAAACTAACCCGATTCAAAAATCAGGTCAGGTTTGGGTTGATGCGGAAACCCTAAAATGGCCCTGAAACGGTTTGCCCTTGTCAAGTGCCTTGCTGCCCGCGTTGACCGACACGTCGAGTCGCTTAGTGTGGGTTGCCCGACAGGTCAAGTCGCTTCGTGTCGATATTGCAGCACCACTGCTGCCACTGTTGTTGCTTCGCCGCCGGCTTTGAATCGGAACTGGAAGTAGCAACTGGCGACGGGACCTCAGCTCACGCTTTTTCAGTCAATTCTCATAAATTCAGGTTGGGTCGTGTTAACTTGGAAACCCGTGCGGGTCGAGTCCGGGTTGAAATAGCCAACCCGTTTGTAAAAACGGGTCAGATTCTGGTTGACCAGTTTAGAGCCGGGTCAACTCGAGTTCGACCCGAACCCGACCAGTCGACCCGAATTGTCACCCCTAAATTTGGTGAATGCCACATACTTCCCTTTCTTCCTACTTAAACTTTCAAATGAAGAAACCATTGTCTGCTTCAACTTGCTTGTCTTTGGGGCCACATGACAGGTCACTCTTCACAGCTCATAGTGCAAAAAGTAATAGAGGTTATCTACAGCTAACAAGGCCATGGGTACCTTACGAGGGTTTTAAAACTAGTTAATGATATTCAAAGGATCTTTTGACACTTCTGCTTTCCTGTCTTCTTCTCCTTTTCATGACTAATGCTTGGGTTTCAAGTTTAAACATTCAGGATATTTTTGGTTGAGATGTGATGTGTAGAAAGCTACCAGAAAGCTACCCTTCTCCAGCATTTATGCTTGTATGAAAAATCTCAAGAGAAAGGACAGAATAATTGCTATATGGCTCGTTGTTGCTTGAGTAATGCTAAACTATCCAAATCGCATCTCAAAAATTCTTGATGAATTATTACACTTAGTTGAATTCAATATGTAGGCCAATAAGGGCATTAAGTTTTTTCTCTCTTTGGATTAACACACTAAGATTACTTTTTTTTATATATAGGTTTCAAGTTGGTACATATCATTTCTTTAGATTTTTCTATAAAATCATAAAAAACATGTACAAATTAGTGCAGCAACAGATTGTGCTGAGTCAAGTCGGAGCATGGCCAAGTTTGAGCTAGTTTGTCAAAACTCTGCTTGAGCTCAAGCTCGAGCTTGATTCAAGTATTGTAGTGACCCCTCCATGATAAGGGGAAATAAAAATTTGAAGAAAAAAAATTATTGTAGTATTGACAAGGCCTCTTCTTTTGGGAATGGTAATCGTAGTAAGCGGAATCTAAGAATAAGTAATTCTTTTTGGGCTCTGTTGGTTTGGTGGCTTTCTGATTTTATGGTTGGGTTGTGGGTTGTGGGTTTTCTCGGCTTCGCTTTCTCAGTTGGGCAGGTTGTGGCTCTTTCTTAGCTTTCTTTGCGGTTTCTTCCTTGCAGGGTGCCATCTCGATGGATCTCTTCTGGTCTTGGCTATGATTGCTTCCACTTGGCCTCTCTTGGGAGGACTGATCTTGGCATTGGTTGAAGTCTTATTTGATATTTTCTATTGTTCGCACTTGTTGCTTCCTGTTGGCCGATCAAGGGTGGCTCTCTTTATGATCCTGACTTTTTTTTGGTCTTTTCTTTTATTTAATTGTGTATTTAGATTGAATCTAAGGCTGGTAAGTTTTACTTTAAATGATGTATTCTAGTGGGCTTTGGATTCTCTAAGGACTTGTATTATTGTTTTTATTGAACGCGTAGGCCCCTTAGTAGATTTTAACCCAAAAAAAAAGAAGATTCAAGTATTGTAGAACGTTCAAGATTAGTTTATTTAAATGATTATTTGAACTTGGTTTGAACACGGTCCCTATAGCTAACCAAACGATTATTTTTTTGTGCTCACCTGTCTTCTTAGTTCTTTAAGTCATGAGCTGTAAAACCAACAGAAGCTTCTCTATAATGTTCTTTGTGTGTTGGATAAGAAAGCTGCCACTTTTTTCTCCAACTACATCATTAAGCTGAAGCATACCAACCAAAGCCACCACCTCTATCATCTATTTCCTTTGCATTTGCAACAGCTATTAATGCTTTGTTTGGGATGACTTTCTTTCTGCTTCTTAAAGCAACTTTTTAGTATAAAATTTAAAAAATTTTGCACTAAAAAGCTGTTTTAAGAAGCAAAAAGAAAGACGTCTCAAACGAAACATAAGACTTCCATTAGTGAAACATCAAAATGGATAATAACAGGCATTCCCATGAAGTTAATAAAATGTTAAGATTTTAAGCTAATAAATCACAAACACACATCTGATGATTGAAGTTGAGTGTAATTTTTAATTATATGCCAAATTCAAGGTGCAGGAGAGCAAATTCATGAATTAGATTTCGTTTGGAACAGCTTTCTTAATGCTTAAAACAGTTTTTTTTACTAAAAACTTATTTTAAGAAGTAGCAAAAAAATCATCCCAAACAAAACATCAAAAAACTTCCAGCTGCACACCAAACAGCTATGATTTAGAAAACTTATTTCTTGATTAGCCAGACCTCGCTACAAAATCAAACTACAAACAATCAATTGAAACAAAGATTACAATTTTCATGACAAGTTTGAATGAATTTCTTCTTAATCGATCAGCTTAATAGGCATTAGTACATCAGTAACTACTCTATCCCTCCAACGGCTCCATTAATATCCATATGCTTTCATGCTCTATAGTATTGGCTCAGTAGGACTCTCCCACATATCAAACACATTCTCCTCACTATGCAAAGCAAACAACCTATCCCCACCGATTGAAAAATCACAGATCGGTCCACCGAAACTGGTTCTCAATGTCGTCGTTAACACCCATTCTGGTCCACAGAACACAGAGATACTGTCGTTCATTGAAGAGAACAACTGGCCATTGTGCATCACAAGCTTCGGATAGCAGCTCTCTTCTCCTCTAACCTTCCCCTTCATAAGCTTGCTCCTTGAGCTCCATCTCACGCCTCCTCCATTACTCCTTAAATCCAAAAACCCCAAATCCTCGTACTGGTTCACCACACAGACCGAATGGTTGTCTTCCATTACAATGGCGTGGAGTACTCTCTTCTCGTCAAGGGAAGCAGTCGCCACTGTTCCTTCATCAGACCAGGACCAAACCATGTTCTTCTCTCTGAAGTCCAATATTCCGATGGAACAATTATCAGTTCTTGGAAACAATGTCGCCACCATCAAAAAGTTGTCTCCTTCAATCCACTGAAGTTTATCGGCGTCGCCGAAGGAGTATCCGGGTGGTTGGTAGAAGAAATCCGACTGATTTCCGGTGATTTGATCCCAAACCCCGATGCCGTATTCGTTGCATCTTCCTTTACAACTAGCGAAGATTTTGAAGGTGGAATTGCTGAAACTGAGAGCTCCGGCGGTAAAGGTCTTAACTTTGTTGTCGTGTGAAACGCGGAAGCGATGGCGGAGTTCGCCGGAGGAGGAGGAGAAGAGACCCATGCCGCCGTCGGCGCGGCCGGGTCGTTCTCGAGCGGTGACGACGATGTTGCCGGAGTCGATGTAACCGACGTCGTTGATTTGTTGGTAGTCGAGGTTTATTGGATGGTGTTCGTCGAGCATCCAATCATAGACGTGGGCCACGCTGCCGTGGGCGATGCAACAGCCTCCATCGGGGCTAGCGCGGACCGCAGTGCCGTCGCCGGGAGCTCCGCCGGCAACAGACGCGGCGAGATGGAGGCGGTTTCCGTCGAACGGGCCCCACCGAGCGGAGCGGACGTGGTCGAGGAGGCCGTAGAAGAGGGCCTCGCGGTAGAGGAGCTTTTCGGAGATGTTGGGTGGGAGGTGGAGTTCGCCGGAGCGGAGGAGGTCCAGAAGTACGCCGAAACACGCCGGATTCCGGTCGATGAAATATTCGCCGGTGGAGGAGCGAAGGTTCCAGTCGTCGTCGAGGAGGGCCCCGAGCATGGAGTTTCTACCAGCGTTTGCGAGGGTGGTAGTTGTGGTTTCGAAGATCTTGCCGCCGACGTTGAAACGAACGCGGTCGCTCCCGGTCGCCATTGCCGAATCGATCGAGTTGATCCTACATACTCAGATTTAAAACCGGGCAGGAATTAAGGGGGAAAAGAAGGGATTTTGACGATATGGATTGATTCCAAAGCAAGCGGACGCGGTCTTCTCCTCCCCTGTTTTGTCGTCTTCTTCCTCTGGTTTTGATTTTTCTGAAAAAAGATCGATCCTTCGGCGTACTCGGGTAACGGGCGCAGCAACGGTTTAAAAGCTTCGCGGATCGATCTCGGTTTCCTTCTAAGATTCTTTGAAGAGAAGAGAGAAACGATTCAACCAACCAAATTACGTGTCTTAAGCTTCTAATCCTCATCCGTTGACGTAAGAGTTCTTTTTTTAAAATAAATTCAAGAGATGACCCCAAGAATATGAAACGCTGGAGTGGTTTTTTGTTGGACGGTGGTAATTAATGGGAGAAATTACTCTGTGCTGTCTGGGCGAGAAGAATGGTTCAGATCATGATTGTAAATATTGTGTATATATAATATATACAAATGTTGATATATATTATGCACATTGTACACAATATATGCACTCATATAATCAGACGGTTCTTCCCTTTCGAACTCTGCACAGAATAATTTCTCAATTTATGGACAGTATTTTTGAGTGAGATAGTTAGAGGCAGTAGTTAGACATCAAATCAAGTTGAATAGGAGTTTGATCGAGCTCGAGTTTGAGCTTGTGTTCGATTCGAGCTTTTACGATGGTATTCGAACTCAATTTGTTTAAAACTATGACTATTCAAACTTGATTCGAGTTCAACTTGAATTAGATCCAGATTGTAATTATCGAATCGCTTGTTGATTCTATTTAATTAGCCATCCATTGAGTAGCTTATTAGCTAGCAAAATGAACCTAATTAAGTAAATTATGAGCAACAATATTGAGCAACTTGTTATTTAATTGAATAAACATTTGCAAGCTTATTGATGAGGTGGCTATTGAACTTAAAATGAGACCTTTATTAAGCGACATGTTAAAAAAGGCTTATTGAAATTCTTTAATGAGTTTTAAATTATATTGTTAATGGTCATAAACGAATCAAGTATCAAGTTGTTTAAGCTTGTTTATTTATCAATGGGATTCAAACATGTTTGATTGATTAATTGAATAATTATGAATGAGCTTTTGATTGAGCAAAGCCATCGGTAGTTCGTCGAATGTATTAGTTCATTTCAAAGCTCGGTAATTGTATTTTTCTGGTTGTTTAATAAGAAAAAAAATTTATGCCATGATAAAATTTATAGCGATATGATTTTGAAATAAATATTTTTTTGGAATTATACACATCAATGTATAAAAATGATGGGTATGATTTTTAAATCATTTTAATTAAGATTAAATTTTTGTTTGGGATGGATTTTTTAATGCTTCTTAAAACAATTTTTTAGTATAGAAATTAAAATTTTTAATTAAAAAAGCTACTTTAAGAAACAGTAAGAAAGATGTTCCAAAGAAAGTCTGGATTTTTTCACTTTTTTGTATCAAAAAATGCTGAGAAACAAATATAAAAACTTTGAAATTTATTTTAGCAGTCATTCATAATTTGATTTCAGTATATTTGTAGTCAAAATAGTGTAGTTCAACAAAACAAGTATAGTATGACCTAAGCGCTTGGACTAGTTAATAATTTAATGCACTATTTCATTTTTTTCCTCTTTTGTGATCACTCAACACCTATCTATCAAATCATGACATGCATCTTTATGCTTAGTTTTAGACAACTTTTTTATTGTTTATTAAAGCAATTTTTTAGTATAAATTAAAAAAATTATAATAAAAAGTTGTTTTAAGAAGGTGTAAGAAAGTTGTCCCAAACTGAACCAAAATCTCACCACAAAAGATAAATTGCTGATAAATTTCATCAAATTTGAAGATAATTTTATTGTGTATAAAACATATAAAAATAATGCTCTCTAAGGAAAGGCTGCATAGTGAGATAATTTCATAAAATATGATTACTTGAATTTAATGAAATATTTTGAGCTATGGGGCTTTTTGATTTGCTAAAAAAGTAATGTTGAGTAAAAGAAATGTAATACATTTGAAATATTTAGAAGTTGTTTGACAAATGTAGGTTACTGTATTTTTTTCGCTAGAAATAAAATAAATGCAATGTAAATTTAATTAATAGTAGTGATCTGTGGTTGACGACAATGATGCTGGTGGTGTTGGTGGCGAAAACTGGTGGCTGGTGGAGCTAGTCGACGGCCAGTGGCAAGAGCGATCGATGGCAACAATGGATGCTTAGTGCTGGGAGCCTATCAATGTTTTGTGGCAGTAGGGTTGCGGGCAGTGGCAGGCAATGATCGGGGCGATAAATCTCAAATATTTTACAATGTATTTGAAACTCGATCAAATCTAATGACTATTTGTGAATTTCACGTATTTTAAAAAATTACTCTGCATTTTTTTACTTCAAATCAAATACAAATATTTTTAAAACTCCTATATTTTAAATACTTTATACCTATTTTACTTCAAATAAAATAACCCCTACATCAAAAAATTTCTACACTAATTTTAATAAATTTTATCTCAACAAAAATATATGAAAATACTACTTTTACTGTTAAGTATTTATTTTTTCATCAAATTTAATAAAAAATTTATTCTTTATAAAACATTATGAAATTAATCACAAATTTGTTTCTAAAATTGTGAATCAACATCAATAATTTGTACCTTACATTTGGCTATAATAATATAAAAAACTAATTATATAAATAATGAATTTAAACTATTTTTTCTTAAAATAATAATCTTAAAAGCATTTCTTTCACTCCCACAAAAGCAATATATATTTAAATACATATTAATTTTGATATTATTATATAATAGAAATATTAAATTATTTATTTGAATTTTAAAATAGAACAAATTTGAAATTGAAAATTTTTATGTTAACATAGAATATTTTTATGCCTAAATACTTTTTAAAGCCTAATTAGTTATCTCACTTCTTTTTTTGGGAAATAGTTATTTCACTTCAACAAATTATTAATATTAATATATTATTATTTTCATCCTCTGACACACTGACACTGAGAGTCACGTTTTAAGAACCAACCAAATTTCAACTCTTTAATCTTAAATTATAGAGAAAATTAGAGCCTAATCACGGCTTACTTATTCATTAATGATTAATCTCGATAAAAGCAACCATACCTACCACGTGCGTGGTTAGATAATTAATGGAAATTCATTTTATTGTAATTTACTAATTTTATTTGGAACGGTTTTCTTTGAGAATCTTAAAGTAATTTTTTTAGTACAAAAATTAAAATATCTTTTTGAAAATTAATAATTGTGATGATCTTATAGGGAGGCTGTTGTATTAAGTATTTTAATGGTGATGATTAAGATTTTATTTGAGACCATTTTTTTATTATTTTATTTTTTAGATATTATTAATAGTTTATGTTTGGCTCTTGCTTTTTTTAAAAAAATTATATTAGAAAACTACTTTCAACAGCAGCTTTCAAAAAGCTACTTTCTCCACAAAAGTTTTACAACAATCTTATAAAAAGCTAAAGCCATATCAAATAGATCCTAAGGCTTCATTTGGGACGACTTTCTTTCTGCTTCTTAAAGTAGCTTTCTAGTCTATAAAGCAGAGGCAGGTGCAGTTTTCCAAGGAGAAATTATATTAGAAAACTACTTTCAACAGTAGCTTTCAAAAAGCTGCTTTCTCCTCAAAAGTTTTACAACAATCTTATAAAAAGCTAAAGCCATATCAAATAGATCCTAAGGCTTCATTTGGGACGACTTTCTTTCTGCTTCTTAAAGTAGCTTTCTAGTCTATAAATTTTAAATTTTCAACTAAAAAGTTATTTTAAGAAGCAGTAAGAAAGCCGTCCCAAATGAAGCCTAAATCACTTGTGAGGTTGTGACATAGTTCTTGATACAACAATGAAGGAGATGACTTTGACGTCGACAAAAAAAGATTATGATATAGATTATTGGCCTCTAAAATTTTTAGAGGAATGTTGATTTTCTGTTATAGTATAGCGAAGTAAACCCATTGTGCTCCTTTACTTGAATACATAGTATCATATGTGATTTTTTTAATTAGCAGACACTCATGGACACTTTCAATTGTAGTTGAATAGGGCTTCGTTTGGGGCGGTTTTTTTACTGATTCTTAAAGCAGCTTTCTAGTACAAAAATTAAAATTTTTGTACTAAAAAACTGCTTTAAGAAGCAGTGAGAAAGCTGTCCCAAACGAAGCCTAGGTGTAGTTTTATCGGAGCCACCATATTGATGTAGTACGACTTTGATCGATCCAATGTAGCGTTAGGTGGCTCAAATAACTCTTTTTAGGTTTACATTATCCAACTTGACCAACTCCGATCAAGTCACTTTAGTGTTTTACCCAATTTGATCCAAGTGCAAATAAATGAGTTACTTAGGCTTCATTTGGGACAACTTTTGACAATTACATCTTTGATGCTTTCAATAATTTTTTTGCTATAACAAATGCTGTTGAAAGCAGTAAGAAATTTGTCTCAAACGAAGCCTTAAGTTTAACTATAAAAATAGTAACTATCACTATATCATTATCGTTTGACTATTATCATATGATCAGTAATGTTTATTTATCATTATCTGATCATTGTCATCAAACTATAGCATTCTAAATATTATTAATGTCTGATTATCATTATCAGACCACAATAATTTGAATGTATTCGACTGATTATCACCACCCAATGATTGTCACCTAAACATTATTGTCCACCAATGACATCTACACGTCTCTTAATCATTGTCATTGCCTCTCACTGCTTCACCCTAAATCATAAACACTACTAAAAAATTAGCCTTTCGCAGCACATTTTTTGACTTTTCCCGGCGGTTTTAACCGCCACTATGTTTATTTGCAGCGGTTTTACAACCGCTGGATGTCCGCCGTGATTTCAATGCACTGCAAAGATATTCCTCAGCGGTTTCAGGACCGGTGGGGTAGAACAGTGAATGCGGATAATACCAGCGGTTTAAACCGCGACAAGAGTCTAGTTTTGAAGCGGTTATAACCGCAACGAATGTTTGAAAAATAAATGCTTACAGTAAGGTGGTGGTTTTAACCGCCACAGTTCTATTAACGTTGTAGTGGTTAAAACCGCCGCAAAGTTCCAGAATTAGTTTTTTGTGGCGGTTAAAACCGCCGCAAAGTTCCAGAATTTTTTTTTTAAAAACCCGTAATTTACTTCCATCAAAAGATACAATTTACAAATGCTGAAACAATCATCCACACAAGAGTAGCAATTGTCCAGTCAAGTTATTAATTCACCAAGACATCTATTGCAATCAACATAGTTAGAGTCAACTGAGGCTATAAACACCTAAAGGGCATAAGCTAACTTAATGTACAAAATGAAAAAATATATATAACAATAAAAGGATTTAATGCCACAGAAAACTGCACATTTTTTAGGAAATTTTGATGGGTGATCAATCCAAGGAAATGACCTTTCAACATACTCGCAGAACTCTGCGAATGCTAGGACTACCAAAAAATCAGATCTTTTCAAACAAAAAATTGTATAACAACTAGAAATATCTTCATGAAATCACTTACATTCGTAGCATCAGATGAAAGATGAAACACAAAAATATTCACAGTCCATATATAAGTCACTAAAGTCTCCACCAGACTTGCTTTAGGAAATTTCTAGCCATTTATATTAGTTTTTCAATTTGTTTTAAAATGTTGGATATACACAACCTATATCACCAATTTCATTTATGTCTAAATTTCTTAGTAAACAAACCTCTTAATGCTGAATATCCTCAGGACCTTAGCTAGCTTGAAGCCCGATTCATATCATTATGCTCGATAAAAAAAAAAAAGAGGGAAGAATCAATAGAAAAATATTAAAAAGTGAAAATAGTTTCTAAGATTGACCTATCATAAAAAATACTCTTTATTGGGCACGAATCTCAAAGCAAAATTAAGTTGGAAACTTCAAAAATTAAATATGGGATCATATGAACTCCAATTTCAATAAATTTATAATCGAACTGAATGTCTCAGAAATACAAACCTAACGACACCAAAATTGACTCAATTGTAGCTCAAATAGAACCAACTCAAAGACCTGAAGCGTATTTGGAAGTTTCAAACCATAATTTGGATTACAAAATGATTTCCAATCGTGACATGCTTATAGGTGAATCGAGTGGCTCGATGAGACAAATCCAATGAGCCCAAGATTGCCTAATTCTAATATCATTAAGACATTCAAATACTCAATAAACGATCCACAATTAAAGGATTCAACATCGGTCGTCAAACTAATCTTAATTTACCTTTGATCTTTCTCATATTTACTGGTTATGCCACTCTCATAAAACTATAAATATGCCTCTCATTTCTCATGAGGGAGGACCCAAGTAAGAAGAGAAGAGAAGAGAATAAAAAAGAGGAACTTAAGTTCTCTTGCCACTAGACCCCTCCTCAACCACCACCAGACTCACCCGACAGCCGATTGACGAAGGATTTATGCCTGATGACAAACTTCTGCAAGACCGCCGACTAACGCTAGACTTCTGCCTGACCGTCAATTGAAGTGATTTTTTCCCGACCACCAAACATCGTCGGATTTATGATATTTGTTTGTAGCTGGATTTCAACTCAATTATTAATTGTTGTAGTCTGATCGTCCTCAATTTTAGGGAAGAGTCAGCCACTTATAATTTAACCAAGCACTAGTAGAATCATTTTAACTGGGCGTGATCCCGTGATTTTTCCCTCTTCCATGATTTTCCACATAAAAATTATGGTGTTCGTTTTTTTTTTTCTATTTATGTGATGGATATCCTTACAACGCTAAGACGAAAATTTATAACTCTATCGCCACATACATTGTAGCCCGCAACAAAGATAAATCTCTTCATATGTAATAGTCAAGAATTCTTGACGATATCGAACTGGAATAACCCATTATCTTGATCAGTCTAAGAATACCTTCAATCACTCATATTATTATAGTAATGAGTCAATCAATATGTCATGACACCTTTCGAACAAATGTATATAGCTGGTTTATTATTTTCATTAACTATACTTTTATTAATTATTTTAAAAAAAATTAACTATATGATCATAATATAATTTATTTTCATTTGAAAACTTAAAAAATATATTTGTAGCTAGCAATGTTTTTATTTTAATAAAAAATTAAAAATAAAATAAAGGGCATGTCCATGCATTCATGAAAGAATAATATAATATTAAGTAAAAATTTTGAAATATAATTTTTTTAATAAACTAAAGAAAAAATATTGAATATCTAAAATTATATATTTTATGAATTATTGTTGGTCATTAAAAAGCAAAAAAAAAAAACTACAAAACCCTATATAGTATATATTGCCAATTATATCCCTAACAAAACCCTATTGGACATGTGAGGGTAAAGAAATAAGGGGAGAGAGCGGAGAGCGAGGCAACAGAAGCGTGAAGGCGACGCCGCCGCCGGCTCCTAAACCCTGACAAAGTATCGCTCTGCTCTTCTATCCCATTCTCTATATTCAAGTATCATCATCCTTCAAAGGATTTTGTGAAATCATCGTCTTGGCTGTGGATCGATCGCGATGATAGCGGTAGCGGAGGAGGCGGTGCAATCGACTGTGGAGGCGCAAATGGAGATGCAGCGTGAGAATGAGATCTACCTGGCGAAAAGACCGTATAATGTAGTCCCGGCCTCTTTAGGAGAGTTTCGTCTCGAAAACCTAAAACCCGGGAGCTCGACCTCGGGCGCGGGCGCAGGCGCGTCGGGTGGCGGCGTGGGAGTTGTAGAAGTGACGAATGCCAAGAGATCGGTGTTAGGGGAGTTTTATGAGCATGGTTTTGATCCGGAATTCAGCTTCAGAATCAGATTCCAGAAAATCGTGAGTTGGATTGGGTTTTTTGTCTGGCTTTTGTCTCCTGCTGCCAATTTTATATTTAGTTTTGGAAATGGAGGAGCTTGATTAGTCTTCATCCGTCTTTTTTACTCTTTTGCTGCTTTTGGGGAAGTTAATTAGTCAAGCGCGTGGGTTTTGTAACTGATGGTTTTGATGTTTAACTAGTTATATCTTCATAAACAAATGTGAAGTGATTTTTTAAGTTTTCTTTATGTTATGCGGTTTCCATTCTTTGGAGGACTTTGGTTTCCTTTCGTGTTGTGATTTGGACTGTTCATCGACGGAGTCTTATTTTTTCATGCTTAGAGTATAAAATGCTTATAGATGAAAATAAGATGATGTTTTTGCAGGGCGCAGGGTTGGAAAACATGGGAAACACGTGCTATCTTAATTCAGTTCTGCAGTGCTTAACTTATACGGAACCTTTTGCAGCATATTTGCAGAGTGGGAAGCACAAATCTAATTGTAAGTTTCTGATTCCCCTTTTTTGGTTAGTATTATTTTGACATAGGGGCTGTAACACTGTATATTAATTTTTGCAAAATATGTATCGTTATCCGGTATAAATTTTTGTTCAAAGCAAAAACTTTGGGGAGCTAAGCTTCTTATTGGCATGAATTCAACGTTAAACCCTGCATTTAGTAATTGTAAGTGTTTGATCAGCTTAGTTTTCTGTATTTTTATTAATGCACATACTGTGTAGGAGCTTTTGATGAAAAGAAAAACGGTGTACTTACGTGTGTAGCCATTCTTTCAATTTTCAATGAACTATGAAATCAAGCAATAGCTAATGTGTACATACCTTGAATTGCTGGTGGGGAGAGGCTAGAGAATTCAATCGTTAATATGTTGTATTAGTGTGTGTTACATCCTGAACTTAATATGGTAAGCATTTTGAGGAGCATATAATAAGAATGTGGCATAGAAAGTTGGTTTACTATCCATTTAGAAGGTATTCATTTGTCCTCACAAATCTTTAACCTTACATCAAAAAGTTTGAGTGGCTAAGACTTAAAGTGCTTTTTTGACTTTTCGCTAATTTCAATCTTAGCCAATCAAAATTCATGATGAATGGTGAAATTGTATAAGGAGAATATATTCTATCTTCTAAAAGGATAGTAGTTTATCTTGTGGTGCATATTGATTTATCTATGTATATATAGTTGTAATGTAATTGCACATACTTTAGGTATCTTCAATGAAGAATGATATCATATTTCTCATTGGTTTACGTGCATAATCAGTGGTCTATAGATAAACAAAAACGTAGCTTATAAATGTTCTTTTGAGTTGGGTCTTGTTTTTGGTGTAGTTTAAGCCTAGTTATTTATTGGATAGGAGATGATTTTGTTATTTCCACACCTTTTTAAATATAGGATGGATTTCAACTAAGTTCTAAAAATGGTGGTGGGTTTGCCTAACCTCGGTGAAGGGGAATATAGTGTGTACATGCCAAGACTTTGATGAAAAATGACAATTGAATGTGATAACATTCAAGTCCAATTCAATTGAAAAGGCTTTGACTCCCACCAAAAACTAATGACAATATATTAAGGATCATGAGAGCCACACAAAAAAATGGAAATTTCATGTAAAATAAAAACATTATATTTTAGTAGACATGACAAAAATCAATCATGTTTTGAACAAATAATAATAGATGAAAAGATGGATAACAAGAGAGATTTTAAGCAGTCAGTTACCATAGATTATGTGACTACTTTTTTTTTTTTGGATAAATTTTATATATGGGGTGCAATTAATTGCCACCACTTTCATCAACTTAGATTCACTCCTAGTTTAACTCATATAATTGAGGTGACCCATGACTTAGTTGCCAATGAAAGTGGAATAAAGGCCCATGACTCACTCATCTACCTTGGATTGGGAGTTGTTATCCTATCCTCGTGACAATCCTCTATCAAGTATCAGAAAAATTGTTAATATTACTGATTATTGAGTTTTTTTGCCACAAATATTGCAATTGGATGTGGTTGCCCCTAGAACTTTGAATGCTTCATGTGCTTTATTCATTACGAGTCGAGAAGCATTTTACATTCATTTTTAATGGAAATGACAATGCACTTTGTTGATTTGACAGGAGTAGTTGGTGTGACAGCTCGAATATGTCAATATTTTATTTTGGTAATATTATTTTGCGATAAAAATACATGGCGTGAACTATGGTGCAAAATATGTTAGATTGGACAATGCTGAATTTTTATCAAGTAAATAAATGCAGAACAGCAAACTTTCATGTAAACTTTGACCATCACTTAGCTTGAAGCTAAGTAGAGTCATGCATCAAGTGAATTTGTTTGAATATAAATTATTTCATGTTCTAAAATCATTCAAACTGAGCAGAGGAACTATCCATTGCAGAAATTTAAGATCTTATGCTAGAAATTGACCTTTAGATTTCTAAATTGTTAATATTAATCAAGGTTTAAATTTGCGTAAATAAGCCTCGAGGCGGTGTGAGGCGTAAGCCTCATTGACGCAGAATTGCGTAAATGAGAATTTAAGAGTTTTAGCAGGTAAATAATAACAAGATTCTATCATACAATAAAAAACATCTAAATGACAAGTGAAATTAGTGAAAATTAAGAAAAAAGATGCAATAAAATCATGTTCCAAAGTACAAAACCATAAATTATAGTCTATCAGATTTCCCAACGTACAATTCAGAAGGAACATATAAAATCCAATCATATCCCATCACTAAATAGCTCTTCAAGGAAATCTTCTTCTCCAATTGTATCTATGAAAGTCATATTTTCATCATCTTTAATGTATCTCACTTTTCTCTTCCTTGTTAAATAAGAATGGACATTATCATGTTAATTGCTCACTTGATATAAATATAATGCAATAACATATAAGAAGTTGTGGAATATCTTTATTTGGTTGTTGTGTTGAAGAACTAGTGGATGTGTGTGGTGTGGTACTAGTGGATGTGCCCACTTGATATGCTTCACCCCTCAAGACATCCACACTTAGATTCTCTAGCTGTAAGTCTGATAATGACAAATATGTCTTGTCATCTATGAACCTCTGTTTAAATTGCGCAACAAGAGGCCCGCCTATGTGCAGTTTTCCCCAAATACGCCTCGAGGTTTACGCAATTTTCCTCTTGGCAGAGGCGTACGCCTCACCGGGTCTGAGGCGCGCCTCTAAGGCGCAATTGCGCAATTATAGGTGAGGCGTACGCCTCATCAACCTGGTCCCACGGTGGGTTAAAATTCACTGCACCAATCAGTATAAGCTGTTCGACCACTGTTTAAACTTCCAGTACCGCTTGGTACCGAGCGGTACATGCTCGGTACCGAGCGGTACATGCTCGGTACCGAGCGGTACATGCTCGGTACCGAGCGGTACATGCTCGGTACCGAGCGGTACATGCTCGGTACCGAGCGGTACATGCTCGGTACCGAGCGGTACATGCTCGGTACCGAGCGGTACATGCTCGGTACCGAGCGGTACATGCTCGGTACCGAGCGGTACATGCTCGGTACCGAGCGGTACATGCTCGGTACCGAGCGGTACATGCTCGGTACCGAGCGGTACATGCTCGGTACCGAGCGATACATGATCGGTACCGAGCATGTACCGCTCGATACCGAGCCAGTACCGAGTGGTACATGCTTGGTATTTTTTAAACGAGTCGAGCTCGAGCTTATTAATCGAGCTTGAATTCGAGCTCGAGCTCGAGTTCGAGCTCATTTAGAACATGCTTTTATTGCATTTTTTTTTTAATATGCACTAATTCTACTTATCATTTAGATGTTTTTATTGTATGATTGAATCTTGCTATTATTTACCTGCTAAAACCCTTAAATTCTTATTTACGCAATTTTGCATCCGTGAGGCTTACGCCTCAGACCGCCTCGAGGCTTACGCCTCGCCTCACGGACAAAAATCGCCTCGAGTCTTATTTACACAATTTTAAATATTGCTATGAACCACTCATTATCAGATGATACATCATCACACACCAACGGGTCCTCAACATTCTTCAACCCCTTATTATCAGATGTAAACATTGCTTTCAGAGGTTGTCTCACATCCAACAGGCTCTGCAGTGTCAAATAAGATGTGGCAAACTTGTAGAATAAACTTGCATTAGGAATTGATGATTTGCAGCGCACAAATGTAATAACATACCTAGTGGTTGCTGGGCGAATGATTTCTTTCTTTGAAAACTTTCTCATCAAGGCTAAGACCCATGAGTGATTGTAGATGAACTTTGTGATCTTCTTCGCTCTAGAAAGAGCGCTCTTGTGTTGAGATAAATCACCAAGTTCCTCCAATATGAGATCGATACAATGTGATGCTCATGGGGGTCGAATATAGGTGTTTCCTCTTCTCCATCAACATCTGATCAGCTGCTTTATATGCACTGACATTGTCAGTCACCACCTGAACAACCAATTGCTCCCCAATCTCCTCAATAATCCCATCTAGTAAATTGAAAATGAATGCAGCATTTTTAACCTCATCTGAAGCTTCAATTGATCGTAAGAAGACCGTGCTGTAGGGATTGTTGACAAGGATGTTAATCAAGCTCCTGCTCTTCATGTCAGACCATCCATCTGACATAATGGTAACACCAGTCTCAATCCATGTCCGTTTAATCTCATCAATGCTCCGCTCTGTGTTATGCAGCTCCTCCAAAATCCATGTTCGCAACTCGTATATGGAAGGTACCTTCAACCCTCTCCCATACAACCCTACAGACCATAGCATATTGAAGTAGGCCGGCGATGTCGCAACATTAAATGGCATGGCATTCTAAAAAAAAAAATCTGCCAATATCCATGCAAACCTGACGTCGACCCTCTATGGTACCAGCCGCAGGCATCATCTCTGCTTGTCCTCTATCCTCTCCTGGATTAGTCATATACTGGTCCATCGGACCTCGTGCACCTCTATTATGTATAGTGGAAGAAGAGCCCTTTATACTCTCGCTCTCGAAGTAAGCACCATGTTCGACCCTTTCATCAAATTGCTCATGTTGTAAGTGTTTTGCCGTGGTACTTTTCTTCATGTAAGCAATAATTTCATTCTTCACCTTGTCCGACACATTTGCACACGGTGATACGTTCTTATGCGAGCATGATAAGTGTTCCTTCATGCGGGTTACTCCGCCCTTCACCACTTTCTCGCAAAAAGTACATTTTAAATACATAAGTCTTCTCACCACCGCCTATGTCAACTTGTACACTGTATTTTCAAGAAGGGTCCCTCCGCAATGACGTAATAGACTTTTCTTTGCCCTTAACCATATTTTCTAAAGGAAAAAAAAGCAAATTAAAACAAAAATAATCAAAAAATTTGAAACCCTAGCTTTTCTAGAAATTGAAAAAGCTTACCCTAAACTTAAAAAAAACTCTAAAAACTAATCAAGGAAGGATGTAGAGGGGTGGCCGGAAATAATGGGCTCACCGGCGAGCAACGGCGCTGGCGGAAGAAGCGCCGGAGACGGGATCGGCGTGGAGCTCCTTGCGGGATCGGGAGCGGCTGGTCACGGGCACGGGAAGGATGCGGGATTTGCTGGACCAGTATAAGGGAATTTGGGTTTTTCATATTTACTTAAATGAGTTGGACCCAATCTTTGAGGCGCACGCCTCAATCAAAATTGCACAATTGCGCACTTGAGGCGCGCCTTACAATGCTTGAGGCGTACGCCTCTGCTAAGGGAAAAATTGCACAAGCCTCAAGGCGTATTTGGGCCAAATTGCACAGATTGCACAATTTTAAACAGAGATAGTAATAATAAGGATATTGTTTTTTTTAGTCACCTATTGTTTATTTCATTATCTAGCTTTATAGTAGCTCCTTGTTAGAGGGCAGAAGCAAATTTTTTACACCATGTCACTATTGCTACATGATCACCATGTATATGTTTTAGTATCGTTAACGTCAGTTGCCATTGTTGAAGGTCGCAATGCTGGATTCTGCGCTATGTGTGCTCTTCAGAATCATGTCATGGATGCCCTACAGTCAACTGGGAAAATATTGAGGCCCTTTCATCTTGTCAAGAACTTGAGACGTATCCGGTACATTATATTATTGAGTTAAAGCTTCCCTTGAACTAGTCTGTTTTGTTATTGCCTAGTGCTTTTCCCACGCCATGAACTATATTTTAGAAGATATGAGTTTGCTTAACTACTATCTTCTGTTTACTAGATTGTTTTTCTTGTTATTTTTATTTCCAACTTTGAGGACCCTTAACAAGATGAATAGGCATATCTAGCAATTTTCGGAATTCTAGACAAGAAGATGCTCATGAATACATGGTTAACTTGCTTGAATCAATGCACAAGTGCTGTTTGCCTTATGGGGTCTCTAGTGAGTCTCCTAGTGCATATGAAAAGAGTCAAGTCCACAAGATATTTGGTGGTCAGCTCAGGAGTCAGGTAACTTTGTATATGAATTCTGACATCTATTTAAAGGATATCTCAACATAATTTATTCTCTTAAAGCTGTTGTTTTGTTGGCAGGTGAAATGCATGCAGTGTTCTTATTGTTCCAATAAATTTGATCCTTTCTTGGACTTGAGTCTGGAAATAATGAAAGCAGATACTCTTAGGAAAGCACTTACTCATTTCACTGCCGCGGAATTACTAGATGGTGGGGAGAGACAATATCAGTGTCAGCGCTGCGAAGAAAAAGTTCAGGCCTTCAAACAACTCACCATTCACAAGGCTCCTTATGTGCTCACCATTCATCTCAAACGTTTTGATTCAAGTATTAATGGAGAAAAACTTAGCAAGAAGGTGGTGTATGGACCCACATTGAACCTGAATCCATTCATCAGTGACCCACGTGTGAGTAGATCTTTTTCAAGTTCTTACAAATTTTCTTTTTGAAAGATCCCTTAGCCTCTTTGAGTTTTATTGTGTCTTCTAATTCAACTTTTCAATATTACAGGAAGGTGATTACAGATACACACTGTACGGTGTTTTGGTTCATGCTGGATGGACAACTTATTCTGGTCACTATTTTTGCTATGTTCGGACCTCAGCTGGCATGTGGTATTCCCTCGATGATAACCAGGTTCACACTTTCAGAGCTGCGGTTAATAATTTTGTTTATTCAGTTCCAAGATCTTCCTTGGTTTAAGAGATGTAGGGGTCAATCCTTTTCATGTACATCAGTAACCTAAAACGTTTTAAAAGCTATTTAGCCTTTCCACTACGAACTAGCATTTTTATGGAAAATGGATTCTCATGCAAGATTGTCCTTGGCAAGTCTAGTGCTTGGACACTTCCTAATGCATGGCAAGTCATTATGTTGGACGTGCCATTTGGCATGTTCTAATTATTCTTCAATCTCTATATAAACCTCTTTGAAATTCTTTAAGGTCAAAGATCATTTTATTTCATTGTAAGTCTTTTTTTTTTCATTGTAAGTCTTTGTTGCCGACCCCACGTAGTGGGATAAAGGCTTGATGTTGTTGTTGTTGTTGTAAGTCTTTTTAAAAAGGTTGGTCACATAAAACAGCAGCCTTCAGATGACCCGATTAGGATAGTGGATGTATTAGATTTGATAGGGGTGTCAATTTCGGGTCACGGGTCGGGTTCGGGTCGAACCCGAGCTGACCCGGCACTATTCGGGTCAACCCGAACCCGACCCGTTTTTAAAAACGGGTCGGTTTCCTTGACCCGAACCCGACCCGCTTCGGGTCCGGGTCAACCCGACCCGACCCGAATGACCCGTTTTCAACCAAAAAATTGCTAATTTTCGGGTCAAAA